TTGGGTTGAAGCATTGTGCAGCCTGCGTTGTCCGGAGATTCTATAGAACGGTAGTCCCTTATTGTTGAGAGTGCCCTGGCTCTACAAAATGACAGTCCTTTGTTGAGAGTGCCCTGGCTCTACAAAATGACAGCTCTTTTTCATTTCTTTTATTATCTTTTCATAATCCAGACCCGCTTACCTTTGCCATTTGTTCTGTTTGATTGACGTCCCTGAAAGATCATTTTTGGGAGGCCTTATTGTTCTACAAAATGATAGGTTAAACTTTGTCGTTCTGCGGAGTCTGTTCCGTCTAAGACAACTAACATGAGTAAAACTTAGATGCGCTGAGGTGTACAAGTTTAGCTTTGATGATCTTTGACGTTTCTCATTGGCTAAGCTAAACTTCGACGTTGGAAGTTCTGGGTAATGTTTCATGTAGGCTGCACTCGTTTCTCACGACGCTGACACGAAAGTTCGCTATACATGGACAGCCACCACATTTAACTGTACTTAGTGGCCTTTGGCTTTGCATTCCTTGCAAAGCCGATACCTGCAGAACGACACTTTTGACCGTTCAAGGTGATGACAGTTGACATGAAAAACGTCACTGTTTCTACAAATAAACACTTCTGGTGGCAGCGTCAATGCCAACATCTGCCGGGATGGCAATCTCTGCAAGAAAGCGACTGGTTTAGAGGGGTCTTCCTTTGGTGTCCTCGGAGGTGTCGCATCTGAATGCACAGGCTTCTCCTCTCTCACTTCTGCAAGGGCTGCTTTCATAATCCAAGCGATGCCACGGCATGCTTTGCCCAAAGCCCACACGACCCCAATGACTGCGAAAGCCACCAGGAGACCAAAAGTCCAATCCATGCTTCCCCGGATTAGAACAAAGTCTGAGGGCACAGGCACTCTGAGCAAATGAGCTGAGCTAGCGTGCAAACCTCGTCTCCACCAGCTAGCATTGCATCTCTTTCTACAAAATGAAAGGATGCTCCTCTTTTCCTCCTGCACAATGAGCTAGCACGTAAACCTCCTCTCCACCAGCTAGAATCCGCACAAACATGGTCTTTGCATCTCTTTCTACAAAATGAAAGGATGCTCCTGTTTTCCTACTGCGCAAGCACACTCTCGGGTCAGTTTAGTGCAAATGGACGCTAGTGACGTGATGTCAATGGCCAATCCCCTATGCCATGGGCCAGGCGGGATAGCTCACTATCCCACGGACTTAAAGACATGCACAGCAAAGGTGTGCTCAAGCTCACCACCGTCTACAGTATGGTTGGCCTTGAGTCTGCAACACATGACTACAAAATGTTGGACCATGGTTTGAAATTGAACAAAAATCAGAACTTTTGATTTTCGATGGTGACACCTGAGACTTCTGTATGTACACTGGTGCTGGAATCCTCTAAATGCATCTCAAAGCTCATTCACTAGACACCAGGTCTAATCTCTAAATTAATCTAAAGGCTGAATTAATGCGCATATGCTGGAGCAAAAGCACTGCTGACTCTGCCTGCTGCTACTACAGCGTTACAAAACTCAACAACATGATACAAATTGATACAAATTGTATGTTCACCCACGTTTGTGTACAGAGTGACAGGATGTTGACCTTCTAGCCTCTAACTTTAATAACCGCCAATGCATGCAAACGCTAATTGTATCTGCTTGTGCTCTCCAGCAAATCGGGGCCACTATCGGAACCCAACCGCTACAAAATCACTGGCCTTGGACAATTTGCCCACCAGTTTCAGACGTACAAATAAAATCTGCCAGTTCCTTCAAAAGACGTAAGTATGCCTGCCGCTTGTTCTCTGTCAGCTGCGTCATCACTGTCTCCAAGTGCTTCTTCACTGCTGAACCAAAGGAATGAGGTGCACGGCGGCTTGCATACCTGTTGACTTGGATCTCTTTTCACGTCCGCTATTTCTGTAAGAACTGTGCCAACACCTTTTTCTTTGTAGAAAAAAGGTGAACATATGTGAACATGTAAATGACTACAGTACCGTATTTGAATTTGTTTCAGGACAATGCATAACCTTAAAAGAGCACCAAAAGGCAACACATTCAAACCGATCTTTTTGTAAGAAATGCACAGCGGCCCTCATTTTTGTAACAGCTGACACGCAACTGCAGTCCAAGCCACATGTAGTCAAAGCAAGTTGGCGCGGAAAGCACCATCTTCTCCCATTCAAGCCCTTGTGCTGGTCCATACTTCAATCTGCACTTGCCATCGGAATCAAAAGCAGGGCAATCACCAAATGCTGCCTCATCGCTTGCACGAAGCTGTCGGAGCACCTGCTGAACAACCTCACGACCGTGCTTGTTCCTGATGAAGTCCTGGGGCTGCAACTCATCCATGTTCAAGAGCTTGGCCTCCGCTTTCTCCACCTTCTTTTTTCCTTGCTTGAACATCTCTGAGACTGCTTTTCGGGAAAGTGATGGTGCCACTGGCGCTGCTGCCTGAGACCGATTCAACGCACTAACTTTTGCTCCCCTCTTCATCGTGGGCTCGCTGCCCCAGGCCGTGATGTCTCCCACACGGCTCAAGGCATCAGCGCTCTCATCGGAAAGCTTGATCTTCATCATGCCTGTGTCGTCTCTTGGAGTCTCACCTCAGCTTTTCGCATGCACCTACATCCATAGTCTACATTCACATACATCCTAATCGTTCATATATAAAAATGTTACATATATCTAACATTATCTAAGAATATCTACTCTCCACTGTCTTAGCATTCCAAACATATACAACACATATCATATATATATATAATTGAATTTGGTTGATATTTGCATCTATATGCATATATTTGCACATTCCTCTGTCTTGCAGGTAGCTCACTCTTGTCCACGTCCAGGATGGCGACTAGCGACTCCAAGCGGACAGTCCATGCTTCTGAGCGATCGTTGCAATACCACCAAAGGGCCTGGCCGCGGGTCTATGAGTCTGGAAACACCAGGGTCCAACAATCTGTAGTGGATTCTAGTGCCATGTTGGTCTGTTTTTAATGTTCTGCTTGCAACTTGAGAGTAAACAAATGCCCGGGCGCCCATTATGTTTTGCAATTATAGCCCTCCATTTTGTAAAGACCACCCTGTGTCCCGAAAATTTGTGTCTACAAAATGTGGGCCACATCGTCACCTATGAAATCTCAACCGGGATGTTTTATCGTGCGTTTAGATATTGATTCAAACATGTTTAAAATGATTTAACTATATTTAACTGTTCAACAGGGTTCCACTGTCTGTCCTCATCTTGTGTCAAAGGTTCCAAAACGAGAACACGCAGTGCGACCACGCTGTTGATCCTCAATTCTGAGGAGCAAAGCTTGGGCGCTTTCACTCCCTTCCATTGGCTGAGCACAAACCCCACTTCAAATTCCTTATCTCGTCCCGGCTTCAGGAACAAGATGACCTTTCCCGGCCTCGGAAACAATTGCGCAGTGGACCCTACAAAATGAATGGCTTCAAAAGCAAATACCCCCTACCCTGCCAGCAACAACAAAATAGGACACGATGTGGGAATATGACCCAGCAACTTCATAGCATCTGGGGCTGCGATTGGAAGCTGCAAGTCTTTCTGGGCATCCTGCACTAGCTGCTTCCACTTGTCTAGTCTTCCGGCACGAGAGCGATACTGCGGGTCCTCCTTTTCGGCGGTTGCCTGCGCAATTATACGTTCATTGTACCTTGGCCGCAATACGCACGAGCAAATTATTCCTTTTAGCCAAAGCCATCCAAAGCCTTTACAAAATGAAACACGGTCATTAATTTACCACTTTGAGAGCGACTGTCAACTACAGTAAGCGTATCTACAGAATTGAAGTACACAGGAAGGAGGGAAAGTCAACCGCTACAAAATGAAAGAACAAAAGGCCTATCACATCGAAAAATAAATAGTATTCAAACAAAGTCAAACATATTGAAACATACTACTGTAAAACATACTAAGCCGACTAACTAAGCCATACTAAAACATACTAAGCCGACTAAGCCTTACAAAATGAAAGGATGTTACGTCCAGATGCTGATGCCAGTTTAGGGACCTTGACGCATGCCGCGCACTGACATGGTTTTTGATCCACATTGTGTCACAGCCGCCTTTGCCTGTTCGAAGCTTGATGCAAAGCCTGAGCAGAGCGTTCCACTTGTCTCCCCGTATGCGAAGCGCATCCTGCAGAGTTTTCGGCAGGTAATTCGGATCATTTCTGTCCTTGGAGTTGGGAGACACATCGGTCCGAAATGGCTGGCAAGCATCACTGGCATCCAAGACCTTCTCTACATTCTCCTTGTCAGGAACATCAGCCAAATCATCCTCCCTCTCAGCCGCACCAGCAGCGGCTTTGTTGTTGGTCTCTTCTTCATCA